AATTACATCTTTAAGTAATAGAATTGAGAGGGGACTCTTTAACTTAAGTTAAAGGGAAAACCTCACTTAACACAGGGTCTTTGAGGTAAAAAACAGAATACTCCAGCTGGAACTGAGGAGAGAAATTCCAGATAGAAAATACAACAACTTCAGAGGCCTTGAGTTTAGAAGATGTTTGACTTGTTCAAGGAATGTAAGAGAGGATTGCAGCTGGAGTGGAAGAGAGAGCGGAATGAGGTCAGAACAGTAACGAGAGACCAATCATGTAAACAGGGAAGTAGAGGTACTAGAAGAATTTGGACTCTGACAGAAGAGTAATTGAGGCGTACTACAGATAGGATCATGTGAAAAAAAATTATATATATATATATAATTTTTTTAATGGACACAAGGAAGGGAGGTTAAAGATGACAACCCAAGGTTCCGTGGGTGTGATGGTGGTGGAGTCACAGGACCCTGTCAGTCTTCAGCAGTGGCAAGATCAGCCAGGTATGGCAGGGAGGCAGGCGGTGATGCTAAGAGGCTCAAAGCCCAGAGTTCGAATGCTTCTGAACCACAGTGAGGAGGGGTCTGTAGAAGAAGACCTCTCTCTCCCCATATGGACTACTAGATGAAAGATCCAAACTCACTGTGAAGTCCAGAAGCAGCACTGGTCCACTCCCCTTCCATGTAGTTTGTAGCCTCTGAAAACTTGCTGGACGGTTACCTGTGCATCAGTTCTGACTTGATGACAATGTACAGTGTATAACAACAACCATAAGCCATGGGTGGGTGGAGTTGCAAGAAGTAGTCCGAGGATCTCCTGGAGTTGGAGTTAGTGACAAGAGTCTAGTCTTCTTAGTCTTCAAGTATAAGGAGAATGTAGGCAGGTAGAGATGTGAGAAATGAAGGCAAAAGGAAGGATAAGAGAAAATGTCCCAAGGTTGGGAAGGGCGTGAGTAGTGGAAACTGCAGGCAGATCAGCTACTGGAATCAAAGCATAAGGAGAATGGTGCATCATGTGAAAGGTTCCTGGGAAAATGTAGAGGGATCAGGCTAGCATCCTCTGAACCCTCTTATCCATCTTCACATCTCTAAAAATGGGACAGCTAGCTGTGGTGGTGCTGGTGGAGGTGTTATTGTTGTGTCCTGTTGAGTCAGAGCTGACCCATAGCTGACCCTCCAGTGGATTTTCAGAGGCAGCAAATTGCACTGGAGGAGATTTCCTATCCTTTTTCCGTGGAGTCGCTGGTTCATTCAAACCATATGACTTTGGGTTTGCAGGATAGCGTCTTATTACTAGGCTACCAGAACTCCCTACCTATGGTATAGTCTTGTAAAATTAGTCAATTAAGTTGAACCTCTAGATCTACATAGCATTTGATAGAAAATATGGAAAACTTTTAAGTAAGACCATGAGAATCCACCTGGCTGAGAAATTCTGCAGGACAAATGAACTATTTTCTTCAACAAATACATGTGAGGCATAGGAGAGAACAGATTTAAGATGACTTAGAAGAAACATTTAACAAATCAATGGGTAAACCTATTTTGAACTCTAAATTGAATAAGCCATCTGTATTAACTTTTTTTAGACTACCTGGGCAAAAAATGGGCATGTATTATATATTAGATAACCAATCAGCATTCATTTTCTTGGGTGTGAAAACAGTATTGTGTATATGTATATTTAAAAGTCCTTTTCTGTCCTAGAAAGTATACTAGATGAGATGGTAAAATGCACATCATTTGCTTTTAAATACTGCAGGGGGGAAAAGAGAAGAGCTAGGGAAGAGGGGAATACTGGGAGACATGAAATAAGAATGGCAGAACCTCATGATTTTTGAGACTGAGACATGGTATAGCCTACTTTTTTACACAAATAATACAAGCTGCTCCCTCCCCATGGGAGGTATTTTTTTTCAAACATGCTATGTTGTTTTATGTATTTATTTTTACAGCAACATGTGAAAACAAAAATATTGGCATAACAGCACTTAAGACTTCCCAGGAACAGGTGGCAGTTGGCAAACACATGTAGAAGGCATGTTATTTGTAAAAATTAAAGTTTATGTTAACTTTATTCTCTGTACTTTTAAGTGGGTTTGAGCATTTTCATAGTAAAATATTTTGAGGACAAGCTGAGGGGTGTGGACGTTCTGATGTGGCACCGGAGAACCTGTGTTGTTGCTAGGGACCATCCAGGCGACTTTAACTCATAGGGACCCTGTGAACAGTAGATCTGAAGCTGGCCTGATTCTGCGCCAGCCTCACTGTCTCTGATCGTCTCAAGCCCCTTGATACAGTCACGATACCAGTCCATCTTGTTGGGATCTTCTTCTCTTTTTCTGGTCCTCCACCTTTCCCCAAAATATTAACTTGGTAACAGTATATTAAATGGTCAGAACTCAGAGGTCTAAAGATAGGAACCTGATTCACACCTTGACTATGGCAGTGGTCCAGAAAACAAAACCTTTTTTGAAAACAGCTAGAGGAAACCATAGCAAAAGAGGAACTCTTTGGTGGGTTGGGAATACAGAAGTGAGTCACAGTGCATGACGGGGAAAATTCCCTTCTTCCTCTTCAGTCAGTGACAATTGCTGTTCTAAACCACCCCACTGGGTATTGTTAGGAGTGGGGGGAGGGGAACAAGGTCTCTTCATTGATGAGGAACTAAACTTGGTCTTTACATTGGCCAAAATGGAAAGCAATGGGGAACTAGAATTTTAATTTTTTTTTCCATATAGAGTAAGCATCTCATAGTTCCAGTATACAATACTGGATTGATTCACTCTAATTATCTTTCTCCATTTACACTGGAGAAATGGAAATAATCTTTGTCAGTCATCAAATCAGGTCACTTATGACAGGAACTAATAATATAAAGGTTATATTATTCAAACAAGACACTGAAAATTTTAAGGAATGTATGTGAAGTTAATAAAATGAGTTACAATCTGGGCAAATAAAAATAGGACTACTAATTATAAAAATTCTAGATTTAAATTATGTAACTCCTGGTTTGTCCACAACAAGGGAGTGTGTGTGTGTGTGTGTGTGTCTACGTGTAAGAAAACTTCAGACCCAATGTAAATTAGATAAATAAAAATTAAATAAAAATGTTAGAGATTAATGAGAAATAGTCATTCTTCAGCCTTCTACAATCAAAGGTAATTTGGCACACACACAATCTTAATAAAGTGACCTACGCAAGCCCCTCAGAGAGGAGCAGACAGCCTGGAAAATAGTGTCCTGATCTCATTTGCTGTCTTCTTCTTGATCATTGTGTTTAAAGAAATTACACTACAAATTGCAGCCTGTTCATAGGGGCCATTTCCTGTGACCAGTATCCCCCTCTCCTGTTGCAATTGAACATATCTATTTAGAGGACTAAAGCTGAGTGTGGGAACAGAGATAAGGATGCTGCTCTTAGTGAGAATGCATGTTGGCATGCTTGCCTTCACTAATCTTCATCAAGAAGCTTAGAGACTCTCCAACAGGACTTTTCCTTTGGTCCTCACAAGCTGGTGTTTTCCACCATAGTTTGTCCCATCAGACATGGGATTCTAGTCAAGTGTGCTCCTGGTTTGGAGTCAATGAAAATAGAATTTCTAGTCTATGGTATCTATTGTGAAAAACTGTAGTAAAAAGGTAAGAAGAGGGCAGTAATGTCCCTAGCTAAAAGCAAAGACAGGTTTTTTTTCTTTTATTCAGGGATGCATGGCTAGACTGCAGGGTCACAGGAGGGATGAGGCCTGGGGGACCAGTGGTTACGAATCTCATTATGGCAAAGGTTGAACTAGCATCAACGCTTGATGGAAATGAGATGGGAGAGGCGAGACAGAGCTGCTGTCTCCCTTACTGAATTATCAGAAAAGAAAGATAACCTGAAAATAGGCATCCATTATTTCTTTCTGCAAAGGGATTAGTGTGGGTTGCAGAAAATTAATGGCTTTTGAGTTACCACAGAAATACTAATGAATGTCAGGACCAGAGATGCAGAGCAGGTAAAATTGGCTTTTTCCTGCCTCTTTTCTCTCCTTTTCACTTTGGGTTTGCTCTTTAAAGATGCACTTATGTATTATTCTATTTTCCTTCAGCCCAAATCAGGAATCATACCCTTTGGGAGTGTGATTTGTTTTCCTTTAGGGAAATTAGTTTATGGCAGTCTCCAATGTGTGTCAGCAAAGGGACTGAGAAAGAAAAAGTCTCTTCCTAGGAAGGGTGTTCTTTATTGTTTCCTTGTTTAGTGAAAGTATAAAGCAGCCTGCAAAGTGACAGGGTTCCTTATTAAAATAATAAACTGGTTTAAATACACACACACACACATCAGCTAATCATAATTTAAAAATACCAAGACCAGATAAAGTTGTGAAGCAGAAGGGAAGGAAGAAAAGAAGGAAAAGGAATCAGACCTACTATATGGCAAGCACAGGGTCTAGGATCTTTATTTCTGAGAAAGCATTCAGCAGAGATTTATTAAACATCTATTGTGTGCCATGACTGGTGAATATGGTTAAGTCTTTTGGATTCTAACTGAAAGGTTAGGAGTTTGAATCCATCCAGAGGTGCCTTGGGAGATAAGCCTTGTGGTCTGCTTGTGAAAATTCAGCCATTAAGGAACACATTAGGGACACACTCAGCGTTAGCAGCACCTGGTTTATGAACAGGATTCTCCCCAGAAACAGCTTGCCAGTTGGGTACTATCTTGGCATTTGATTATTTCTACTTGATTTTAATTGAATCATAAGGATACCAACCTCTCATATGTTTGGAATTTTGTACCTGTAGTGGATAAGAAGTTGCATTTCCATCTCAAAGGCAGGTGGTTTGAATCCACGAGCTTCCCTGTGGGAGATAGAGGAGCACTCTCCTTCAAAGGTGATTTACAGCCTCTGAAAACCCACTGGAGGGTGAGCTCTGAGTCTGTTCTGACTCAATACCAATGTGTTGTTGTTTTTGTTTTGTAGTGTAATTAATGCTTTACCTCTTTTTTTCTTTTTTTTTTTTTTAATTTCCAGAACACAAGCAGACATTCCCAAACATCCTGAAGAAAGGTTACCTAGAGATTAGGAAGGACCATGACAGTTACTGGCAAAGCTGTTATGCGGAACTGTCACCCTACAACTTATACTTCTACAACCTCGACAGCAGTGGGAACCAGAACCTTTATGCCACGTACCAGCTTTCCCACTTCCAGAGCATCTCTGTCCTGGGCAACCTGGAGGCCAGGTTGGTGGACACTGTCCTGTACGACAACACTCAGCTCCAGCTAAAGGCAGAGTCACCGTGGGAGGCTTTGGACTGGGGACAGAAGCTCTGGGAGGTCGTGCATGCGGCCCGGCCGGGTTACATGGTCCGGCAGGACGAGCTGGCAAACTCACCGGGACTCGGCCACAACGTTGACAATACACAGAATCACTGTTTACAGAAGAAATGCAGTGGACTGCTGCCATCGTCACCTGCCCCAGAAGGCCCCACACAGTACCAAAACATCCTCAAGTCAGGGACACTGTACAGGCTGACTGTCCAGAACAACTGGAAGGCCTTTACCTTTGTGCTGAGCAGGGCCTACCTTATGGCCTTTCAGCCCGGCAAGCTTGACGAGGACCCGCTGCTCAGCTACAACGTGGACGTGTGCCTGGCCGTCCAGATGGACACCCTGGATGGCTGCGACTCTTGCTTCCAAGTCATCTTCCCCCAGGACGTCCTCCGCCTCCGGGCCGAGACCCGGCAGAAGGCGCAGGAGTGGATGGAGGCCCTGAAAACGGCTGCCAATGCCGAGAGGAGTGCGGAGCAAAACCTACAGGTCACCCTGAGGAACAAATCTAAGGAGCAGCCGGGCGGGCATGACCTCAGGAAGAACAAACGCCAGTCCGTGACCACCAGCTTCCTGAGCATCCTGACCACGTTGTCTCTGGAACGAGGACTCACTGCTCAGAGTTTCAAATGTGCAGGTAATGAGGCATATGTTCTCCCTAGATTTCTCTGGGAAGCAATCGTGATTTCCACAGTTCGAGTCAGTTTTCACAAGCACCCAGCCAGTCAGCCATAGCTGCCTCCTGTTTATAAAGTATCTCTCCTGCAGTGAGCCTTCAGATCCTCAGTAGACTGCTAACTGTTTACCTAAGGAAATGCTCTTCTGTCAGTCACTGTCGTTGACTATAACCTTGCCAGATCCTGTTGAGGTGGATTCTAGAAAGTCAGTTTTGACCAAAAATGTGGAGGTTGCTAAAAGCAGGGAAGGAGATGACTCAGCAGATGACCTCTGAGTCACAGGGGACCTGGGGGGAGTCCAGAACTCCCAAAGCTGCTCTGTAAGGGTAAGCCACAGAGGGAGTGGAAGGCTGTGATTTCTCAAAACCTGGTCACTGCTGGTTTCCTCCACTTCCCATTCCTGCATCCCTCACAAAGAAGTAAAATGAAAGGAAGGAACAAATTAGCAAACTAAATCTAAATAACTGCTACAAATGGAATAAAGTTCTTTCCCTTTCGGTAAACACTATAGTGTGTGTCAATAAATGTAACATGAAGATACCCTTAATTGGAAGCCTGTTCTGAAAGATTTTAATTCAAATCTGTCTGATTTAAGTATAATATATCTTGTTGAACAAGCAGCTTCCCACCAGCAGCCGAGACACTGCATTTTGTTCTTGATCTTGCATTGGAAGGCTAAGTGACCATTCACCCAGAGGGGTGACACACTGGAAAGTCATGTCCGTAGGTTAGTGTGACGATGGCCTTTTCTAGTTTACCTCAGCTGGTAATTAAGTGACTCATCCCACTGCATCGTCTGGACAGCCTCATGACTACACAGTAGAAGCTCGTGTGATGGGCTTGTAGAGAGTCCCTCAGCCCTGTGTGTAGGTCTGCAGGTGGGAAAGGCCTGCTGTTGAGTGAACCAGTACTTTTTAAAAAATGGTTTGGAAAATAAGGAAACACTGGGCTTAGCACAGTTCTTTAGATTTACTGACATCTCGGTGCCTGATTATACCAGCACATATATGATATTTCAGTTTTTAGACATGCAGCAATACAAAGTGTCCCGGGGTTATGAACAAGGCGTTTTCCCAAGTGCCTTTAAGTAAGATTTATAGGTAAGGTGAAGCATTCTCATTCAGCCTCACTTTAGCTCAGAAAAGGCTCCAAACCTTTTCAGTGATTTAGAAGCTAGATGTGCAGCAAGTGAAGATGATTGTGATGAAGAATCTGTTTCATAGAGGGATTGGTACAGTCATTTCAAAGTGATGGCAAATGACATAAAAGGTCAAGTTAGAGTTGTTGATGGTCCAGCTTTTGTAACCCAGGGTCTGCTGTGTTTTACCGGATGCTTACTCAGTGGGCATCCTGGGATGGTAAACTTGTGGGGGCTTTAGGGATCCTGGTGGCACAGTACTTGAGCACTTAGCTGCTCACCAGGTCACCAGTTTGAACCCACCAGGCACTGTAGAAAGGTACTTATGCTTCTGTTACAGTCACAGCCTCGGAGACCAGTGGGGCAGTTCTACCCTGTGCTATAGGGTCACTGCAAGGCAAAGGGATTTGTTTAGCGTCAGGGAATTTTGAATTTATTTTCTATAGCTTTGGACTGCTAAGCCAAAGGCAGTTTGACCCTCTTTGGCCGTTCAAATCCACCAGCAGCCCTGCCAGAGAACGATGGAAGTTTCCTCCTGTGCAATTTATGGGTGAAAGGACCAGCTACAAGTCACTTCCAACCTGACAGAAATGATCGAGAATTAGGACTGCCAATGGATTCTACATATGTGGTGATGGTGGTGATGTGTACCATAGAGTCAGAATTGACCAATAACTGACCCTCCAGGGGGTTTTCATAGGCGGTTAGTTGCACAGGAGGAGATTATACAACCAGCTGGTGGCCTCGAACTGTGTGCCTTCAGGATTGCAGTGCAGCTTCTCGCCAGAGCTAGGCCACCAGAGCTCCCTACAAATGTGTAGTGTCCCTATAAGAAGGGGGAACTGCTTAGCTTAGTTTTCAAGATAGAGGCTAGAGTAGCTTAATCTAGAAACTTCCTAGGAGGAGAGGGAAGAAAAGCTGCAGGTGCTGTGTAGAGTTGCCCGCTCCTTGTTCACCTCGTTCTCTGTCCTGCTTCACCTCATTTTCCATCCTTTCTGAAGTTTGCTGACTTGGGCCTATGTTGCCCGAGTTCCGTTGTGGGCCGCGCCGCGCGATCCCTAGCGTACAAAGGGAGGAGAAACAGGAGTTGAGGACTGGTGAGTAAGCTCACCACATCCATCCCTTACAAGATTAAAACCAGGAACAAGACCTAGAAAAGTGACTAGATAAGACAGGGGAAAGGAAGCCAAGTAGGAAAGCAGAAAGAGGGAGAAGCTCCGGCTTTAGATTCCACAGGACAGGATTTCCCCCTTTGCGATCTAAATTTGGTGCTCATTGGACTGCCTGAAGAGTAGGTGAGAAGAGGAGATAGTAAGCACTGCAGAGAGTGAGAGTAATGTAGTTTAGAAAACTTTGGCTCTGCTCCTCAATTACCTTCATGTTTGAGTTTGCAATTCCATTGCGGAACAAATGGTTTTCTAATTTTGGCTGGCAGGGTGAGATGGAAGGACTACACCCAATTTGTAAATGTCTGGCTCATTCCAAAGCAGTGCACTTTGATTTCATTTAAACACTCTCTTTTCCAAAAAAAAATAAAAATAAAAATAAACACTCTCTTTTCCGTTGTAAAGTCTTTGTGATGCAAGTGGTTTATCAGGTTGCTTTTTCATAGAACAGTGATTCCCTAGCTCAGGTAGGAATACTGTCTCTCCTGTAGGGGGCAGACTCTCTAAAGAAAAAGACAAACGCTTGTTAGTCAAACCTCTGAATGTTTTTTAAATTACTTGGGAGGCTGTTCATTATTTCAAAGATTATTGTAGCAGATGGAACTTTAGAAATTGATCTATGTGTCTCAAAAAACACAGTTAATCTAAACCAGCTGCTTTTTTTATTCCATAGCTGTGTCCCCTAACTGCATCTTCATACAAATGTGTAAGCTGCTTGTAGAGTGTGTTTACCTTTCAAGATGCCCAAGTCCAGTAAATTGGCTTTCGTTACGTTTTGGCTTTATTTATTATTTTTTAAGGGGCATCTAATTCATATTTCATGGTTAATGGACCTCTTTTGACTATAAGTTGTTCTGTCCCTGTATTCTCCTTTAAATGCTTTGCAAGAAAAAAAACTTTTAACAGTGGGGGATTATACTGAGTAGTTCTTTAATATGATGTCATTCAGTTGTTATTCAGGAAAGCCACAAATGTTGGCTTTTAAATTTACGAAATAGTGACATTGGCCTCATTTCATTAAATTCTTTCTGGAGGTGAATAATCTTCTATGCTCTGAAATGTCAAGAACCCCTTCAGAGAAGACAGACAGATTGTGACCATCAGAAAAAATGGCTCAGGCTATGGTCTTGAAAACACACACCTATAAAACCAAGCCTACTGCTGAGCCAGCTCCTGTCCATAGCTGTGTATTTCTCAGCCTGTGCTTGAGCTTCTGGTAGGGGTACAGCAGAGCCTGTGAGAGTTTGAACTGCTGTACTCTTCCAACTCTCAAAACTCTGACAGGGGGCAGTCTTACCACTTTTCCCAGGTTTTCTATTAGTGGAAAGTATTTGAGATTTCCTTCTCTGGCAGTTTTGTGCCTCACACAGGATCCAGCTTTCACAGGTTCAATTTGACTGATGGCTCCTCTCCAGCCTCACAGGCCTCCGTAGAGGGGCCCAGTTCAGGTGGCCTCAGCCATAGCAGTTGTCTTGCTGTTCCTTGAATGCCCCAACATCATTCGTCCTGCATAGCACTTGCTGTCCTACTCCCAAAGAAAATGTGTCTTTGCAAACGAATTTCTTCTATTCTTATAAAATGTATTGTGAACAAAGCTGCTTGCACCTGGATGGTTCAGGGAAGTGGATGCATTTGTTTCTCTCATGAAGCTTGCCTTTACACCAGAAGCCACACAGTAATGAAATGATTGCATAAATGAAGGCAGAACGCTTTCCCTGGCAAGAGCGGCAGAAGTGAGGTACACATACATGTTAGAGAACTCTCAGAGGTAGTGCCAGTTAGAATGATAGGAAATTGCCGATACTCTTATTATTCCTTACCCACGCCAAAAAAAGTGTGATTTCATCAGACTAAACGGAATGTCTGACTCTGAATCACAGAAGGTTCTAGAGCAGAGGAGCACATGAGTGATATTTCAGACCAATTCATTTGGTGATCCTTTAGTATACGTCTCTGGTAGAAAATGAAATATGCGTCCTTAGTGAAGTTGCTGGTTGGGATTCCAAATTATGTTTGCCAGTGGGGAAATCTTTGGTGTTAAAATATTTATATTACTGTACTCTTTTGAGGAAAATGCAGCTTATTGGAAAGTGTATGAAGTGTAGTGTTTACCTGTAAGTGGGCCTAAACGAGGCTACTGATAACTTGCTATACAAACTAGGTTAGAAAGCGGCAGGCCTGTTTCCTTCAGAAGTTAAGCTTGCACGCCTACGTATTTGCACTCGGAGACACTGGTGTCCTTGGCACGGGAACCCACAGACATTTCTCCTCTAGGTTCTCAACAGTCAAGAAAGCTAGCAATTGAGAAATAGAATAAAAGGGTGCAGAGGCCCATTTATAGGTGTGATGAGAGAAGCAGCATTCACAGTTGAAAATGTTCCTAGGTTAATGTTTTGAGATCTGGAAATTGGAAGGCCGATTCAGGACTGAAGCTGAAAATGTCAGCGGAAGAGATGGTAGGACAAACAGCCAGTGAGCAAGGGAATCCCTACCCATTTCCACGCTGTCCGGTTTTATGGCTTTACTCCTCTGGGCTGCTGTTTAACCTCGTGGGACTGCTGTGGGTAATTACATCTCTCTGGCAGTAAGAGCTTTTTTGCTTTCCTTTTCTTCCCCCTCCAGCCTTTGGGAGAGGTAGGCCCAAAGTGGGGGGGGG